AGCCACCAGAATCCCTTGAAATATCAATGTATTCTGCCCTCTTTAATGTTTTCTGAAACACTGTGCCAAGAGAAAGCAAACGATACTTCTGGGCCTTAATAAATATCTGCTGATTTAAAGAATAGTTTTGAACTGAGTGTTGAGTGGTGGACAATTGCGAAAAGCCCGGGGCTGGTGCCCTGGCTATGCAGGGCCCCTGCAGCACAAGGCCTTGCTCAGCAGTCTGAGCGCTGTGGCGGGTGGGCTTGGAAATGACATTGCTCACATGGACTCCACCTCAGCAGGGGTTTCCCTTCTCCACTCAAAGATGGCTCCATTTCCTGAAGGTTCCAAGGCGAGGCACTCCCAGGAAAGCCCCAGGCTCTCACCGGATTCATGTGTTCCCCTCGAGAACCTGGAGGGATTCAGGAGGCCCTTCAATCAGCCATCAGGGCAGCCCAAACACCCCATCCCTGGGAATCTAGGGTTGACTTCTTCTGCCTCCTGTTCCCTGAGCCCGCTTTGGGAGCTGTCACCTCGAGCTGGGTCATCCCTCCCCTCACACTGGGAGGCCCTGCACAGAGGATGCGTGATTTGATTCTAGATGAAGGACTCCTTGAACTTTCCACCTGCGGGGACCACAGTGCATCGTGAACACCACCAAATTCTTCGTCGTCCCACATCTCCTGTGACCCAGTTGTGTGCTCACTTCTGAGGCAGCCCTCCAGTCACACTTGCCAGATGTCCAACTAAAGCCTGAAGTCCCTAGGGCTCCCTCTGAGGGCTCCGTTCCCAGCCAGGTATAGAAGCCAAAACCTATGGATTATGCTCCAACTGACACAGGGCCATCAACTCCGACCCCGTCCCCTGCTGCCCCTGACTCCACATGGGATGACACCTCTGGTCACACCAGTCACTTGCACAGAACTCTCCGTAACTCCTTGGTACTAACCTTGTCCTATTTTTCTTGTACAATGATCGCTCTGTCACATACACTGAAGAAGTATTTGATAGTAGTAGAAATAGATGTCGAAAGATTCCTTGGACAGGCGGGACATTGCCGGTGAGATTTACTCCTTGGTTGAAAGGACGTGGAACCAAATAAATGAGTCGTGGACAAGAGTAATTCCTTGTCATCTGCACCAATGGTGTTCCTGTAGATAGGATTGCCAGATTTAATAAATTCAAATGCAGGACATTGATTTAAAGGTGAGTTCAGATAAACAATAAGGACCTTTATTTTTTAAGTACGTCCTATAGAGACATACTTATATCACAAAATTGTGATTGCGTGTCCTTGGCTTTCTCATTTGATCCTTTTCTTTATTCGCTTTGTTTATTCCTTTGTTTATTCCATTTAATAGACTTCTCATCTCGGGTCATGTGTTCTTCATTTCAGATTGGTTCCCTTTGCTCTGTTCCATTTCCATTTTTATGTTTTTATCTGTTGATTTTATCTGCACTTCTCAAAAGTTCCTTGAGCATCTTTATAACCAGTGTTTTGAACTCTGCATCTGTTAGATTACTTGACTCCATTATATCTAGATCTCTGTTCTCTTCTCCCATGTGGTTTCTGCTGCTTTGTCTGCCCTCTGTGTCTGTTTTAATGTACTAAGCAAAGCTCCTAAGTTTCGCAGTCTTATTAGTGTGGATTTGTGAAGTAGGTGTCCAGTGGCACAGTCCTGAGAGGGGTTCAGCTGCAGGCCAAGTTTAGCCCAAACCTCTGCCCCTCTGGGGCCACCTGTTAAGATTCAGCAAGCAATCCACAGATGCTGTGCTTATAGTTGCCTCAAAAGGCCACACCAGAAACCGAGGCCAGCTGCCTCCAGTGTGAGTCTAGGCGCTGCTCAACAAGGAGCACCTGACTCGCTGAGGATATACCTGGATGTGGCTTGAGTCGGTCTGTGAGTTGGGGGAGGCGGGGTTTCAGGGAATCCTCTGGGCGGAGGGACGTCTGTTATCCAGTTTGATGACGTCAGGGCTATGGCGGCTCTCTGTCCAGAGCACTGGTGGTGGGGAAGGCTCAACAGGGAGCAACAGATCCTGCCGGCACTTCTGTACATTGTGAGCCTCGCTGAGCCCCCACTCCAGCAATATCTCCCTGTAAGTCCCCGGTCCCCCCTACGTGCAGCCAGATCAGCGCTGGTGTTCAGAGCGAGTAGGCGCGTCACCACGAAAATCTGCTTGCAATGTGGACCGCTTAAGAGGCATCTGCCGCTACAACAGCCTCCATCTCACTCAGCCGTTCGGGATGGACAGCCCAGCGCCCTCGCCGCATCCTACGTTCTGCCATTGCAGGGCGCTTTCTTGGATTTCTCCCTAGTTGTATGGCTTGTTCATCTAGATCCCCCGGCAATGTTTCCTTGCTGATGCTCCTTGTTTCCATCACAACTTTGATTTGGTCGCCAGAGGGATGAACGGAGCCTCTACCATCTGCGCCATTTTTTTTTCCAACCCAAGACTTTTATCTTTTAAGTATGTCCCTATGGGGGACATACATATCACAAAATTTTGGATGTCATGATGTTTACATTTGGACCAATTTATCAGACGTGTACTTAAAAGATTTTTGGCTCTGGTGTGGGCAAAGAGGTCTTTCCATCTCTGGAACATGTAGTATATGAGAATAAATGTGAATGGGGTTTAAATTGTGAAATGTGAAATAAATTGGAGTCACTTATGTTAAGGGACTTTAAAATGGAGAGAGGAGTCCATTAAGGAAGTGGGTCTTCTGCATGTCTTCATCGAACGGAGCATAATCTTTCAAAGTGGGCCAAACAATAAAGATTCTGAGAACACTGCAAGAACAGCTGCAATTTGTCACAGTGATGGACTTTTACTTAGCGATGCCTCATGCTTAACCAATGCAGGCTTTCTGCTGCCAGCACCAATTAAATTTCATTGTGAACGACCTGTGCAAACCTTCCTGGTTGCCTTTTAAAAAGCCCTGACTTTTGTACCCCAGCAGGACACTGTTTTGGTTGCTACCTGAAGCTGCCTTTCTCGAATTGGAATTCTTTGATCCCAAAGAAATGTTTTTCTTTCTTCTCTCTTGATTATTGTCTTCTGACAATTTGGCATAAGCAAAACTGGGTCTCAGGCAGCTGCAGAACATTTCTGGGAATTGGGGATGAGAAGGCTCAGAGTTTGCAACAAATAATCCACTTTGCTCCCCTGCTGCTACCTGAAAACCACCAAGGTTTGAGGTTTCTCCAGGTTTCTCCGGGGAGCTTCCCAGGGCCATTACCACGAATAAGTCATGGGATCTAAACAGCGAGGGCTACAAGGTAACACCCAGAGACAGGAGAGAAGGAAAAGACCACGTGTACCTGGCCTATCACTTAGCAGCCTCCAGGGGTGCAAGTGTCTGTCAAACCAGGAAGGTTGATTGTGGGCAGCGGAGGTTCTTGTGCGATCCAACTGTTCTCGCTGAGCACTGGACTATGGGACCTTTGGATTCACACATGCAGCAGAGTTTATGGTCTAATCATTTATAGAACTAGACCATATATAACGATGGGAGAAGATGGGGAAGTAAAGTCCAGACTGAGCATGGTAAGGATCATAGAAAAGCCAGTGACCAGCCAGGGTTCGACCCTCCCAAAACAGTCACGTGAGGGCAACTCAGAGCTTGCAGGACAGTCAGGGGAACTGCACATCCAGCAGTAAAAACAGGACACAGAGAGGAAGGCTGGTGCCTCTGCATCTGATGGTGGACTGGGGGTTGCTCTCGGTGAGTAGGATAGACCAGGAGGAAAAAAGAGCTGGTGGCAAAACAGAGGAGAGCAAGGACAAGCTAGAACCCACTGGCACATCTGCATCTTCCTCTCACTGCATCTAGGCACTACCTACAGGGATGATGGCAGCTGCTTCACCTCGACCTTATAGGTCTTGCACGGGTACCTCTTGGCCAACTCCAACATGGAACCATGAAAGAAATGTACTTCCAGCTTCGGCCAGCTGACATCATAGAAAAGCAGCACTGTCCACCCTTGTCAAGTTCACATCCGACTCATCTCTTCAGCCAATTTAACTTCAATAGCTAAATCTTGCTTCCACACAACATGACTCGACTATTCCTGGGACAACTGAGAAAACCCTAACCCTCTCCCTAAAAGAGAATAATGATGTCCCATAAATCCCTTTATCTACCTGGGAGAATGTTTAGCCCTTTCCTAGCTGAGTCACACTCACCTTTTAACATCCTGACATACGAGCTTAACCACTATGAACACATTTCATACTTGCTCGTGGGAACATGGGAATGGGACGAATACGGAAAAAGAGTTCACATCATAAAACGTATGCAAATAAATTCATATACAATTAAAGAAAAAATAGGTAAAACCACTACAGTTATCCCGTCTGTGACTGGTCACATGGTTTTAGCTCAACTGTATAACTTCCTTCTTCTACTATCCATTCCAATTTGGACATCGTGATGCCTCGTAATCATTTACATGGTGGACGAGGTGACCCAGGTCTTCATTCCTGAAGGGTCAATGCCATTAACAGTCTTGCTAATGCTGTTTTTGTTCAAGCACCCTCAAAATGTCTATGGTATGCCGACTCCTATCAGTGCTCCATACGAGTAAGACAGAATTCTGTTCCTCATGCAACTCTCTGCAAATGGTATGAAAGTTTGAGATGACAGATGTGTAGTCTCACTCCTCTGCTCCTCAGGGAGAAGCTGGGGGCTTTGGGGTTCCTGCCCAACAATATGGCACTTTGCTAGTGTTGGTAGTATGGCCAGAATGTATCTCCTCTTTTCTTTCTAGCTTTCAGGTGGCTAGATTTACATTGGCTCAGGGTACAGGAGTCTTCCAACTACTTTCTGGATTTTTACAAAGGGAATCGATTCACGTCTTGTCATCAGTCAGTGTGTCCACTGGGGGAACAAGAGTTCAGGGCTTCCTATTATGACATATTGCTGATGGTGCTCCCTCCTGTGTCATGATAACAGATTGTGTACCTAAGGAAATCGCCGATTTCATCTAAGTTATCAAAGCTATAGGCATAGAGATGTTCACAATATCCCTTTATTATCATTTCAATGTTTATAGCATCAAAGCAATAGGACCTTATTTACCTTGGTTTTTAGTCTTTTGTGATCTCTCTTTTTTCGGGGCGGACTGGCCGTGAATTTATTAATTTTATGGAACTTTTCAAGAACACCAGCTTCTTTTCCCATTGATTTTTTCTATTGACCTCCTGTTTAACATTTTTAAATTTCAGTTCTGATTTTCATTTTTATCTTCTGTGGCTTATTTTGCATCTAATTCCTCACTATCACTGTTCTTAATGTTTCTCTATGTGATGAAGCTGCTCCTGAACACAGTTTTTCTCCCTTTACATCCAAACCTCGAGTAACTCTAAGTGACACAGAGCCAAGAGGGCTTTCCTGCCTCATCTCCTTTGTCTTTCTCTGTGAGTATCCTTATGAGGATGAGCACGGCCCCTTTGGACTATTTTCTTTAATTTCTTACCTGCCCTCTGCACAAAGGAAGGAAAGTCTGAGATCCCATTCAGCAAATCATGCTTTTTTAGCACATACGGGAGAGAAATGGCTCTGCATTGGCATACACAAAACATCTTGCTCTATTTCATGTTGGCTTCGTAGTACCACTCAAGAATCTATAAGTTTAGCATATGTGATGGCCCATACAATTGTTTCAGAGTATAGGGAATAACAGATACATTCTGCAGTGAAACTCGGCAAATTCTCCCTTCATGGAGAATGAATGTTTCTGGATCTGGAGAGAATGGGTGATGAGGAAAGAAGAGGTCAGAGAAGAAACTCCACAGAGAGGATGAAGAGGGAAGCAGGTAAACGATGCCCAGATGAGAGGGAGTTGCAGACAACATCTCAAGAGAAGACCCATGGTTTCTCCTTTCTCACACAGGAATGAAACAGAGCTGGTAAGGAGGTGGCACAGAAATAAGCCCATTGACAATTGCCGTGGTGTCAATGTCTTTTGGGTCGACCACAGATTTCAGGGTGAATTTCTGCAAAATGGCGGTCAGGAATAAAAAGAGCTCCATGCGGGCCAGGGCCTCTCCTACACACATCCGTTTCCCTGCAAGTAGCAAACACAGAGACACTGAGTTTCTGGATGCCGGAAAGAGAATATGCAGTAAATATTTGATTAATGGTTGAATAATGGACAGAAGGTAGAACGGCTCATACACAGATGGACAAAGGTTGGATGCACATGCTAGCCACCTAACATCTTATCCTAATGAGTATTCTCCTTTAACAACTACTATTGAGTATCAGCACTATGCCAAGCACTCTATTAAGTATTGTCACATTATAACTGCTCTTTCAAGTTTCCAGCAAGCTTTTTGTAGAATCGTACAGACATTAGTTGTACGTTCTGTCCCTGGTCTGATGTTTCATGAATTTCTTCACATCCTTCATTGCCTTTGTTCTCGCTCTCAGTATACCTACTCTTTATCAATTTCCAATACACCGCGAACTTTCAACTTTTCTATAACACTGTTCCTTTTTGGCTAGGATGCCCTTCTCTTATTTGTTGAGGACCCAGCGCAAATTTCAGTTCTTAGTTTGGAAGACCCGAGTCAACTCTCCAAAGCTCCAATGATCTGGCCTCATAATGAGGATGTATCACGAGGCGGGAATGTGCACGGGCATTGGTATCGGGTATCGTGGCCCCGATCATGGACAACGAGTGATTCTACTAGTCCCCGAGTGAGGATTACGAAAGATCCAGCTGATCCCCAAAAGGTATTCTGTCTTCTGAAGTGCTGAAGGGAATAAAATTCTATTACCTGCTGAGAAAACCATGAAGTAGTCACTCTTCTTAAAATTGCCACACTCGTCCAGAAAGTGCCCGGGGTCAAACACCTCCGGGTTGGGAAATTCTTTGTCATCATGCAGCACAGATGTCAGAGATGTTAATATAGTTGTGCCCTGGACAGAACAGATGAAGATAAAGTGAGCGATGAAAAAGTCATGGGGCTGGAAGCAATGTTGGAAGTCACTTAGTCCGATCTTATGATCTGTTCATGTGAGACCCAGGTCCAAAGAAGGGAACTGGCACTTTGAGCAAGAGGTAACAATAAACAAGGACAGGTTTAAGACTAGTGGCAAAGAGGTTGTTAAAGTGGATGCCAATAGGGTTTGAAGTTCCGAGTCCACAGGTCCCTGGGTGCCCGACCTTCTCAATCCATCTTGCTTAGCACCACGTTTGGACAGAAAGTAAAGGAAGCATGACCATTACTCTACACCACATGTAAAAATTTACCTGAATGGATCCCTGTTTTAACACAAACGCTAAAACTGTAATTTGTTCTGGCAAATACTATTTACACAGGATTCACCCTGCCTCTTCCACCCTCACCCCCAAAAGCACTGATCAATCTTGCATCATTGCAAAGCGTTCCGTTAGACAAATAATCACCTATGTGTAAATATAGCATACCACCTGTTTTTGTACAGCCCATGAACTAAGCATTTCAACCTGACACAATGAAGGAAGAATAAAATTTGGGAAATACAAAAACAGTTTCAAAGCAAGTGGGATGTAGCCATTCCCATTCGTTTACATATGCTCTACGACTACTTCCATGCTACGATAGCAGTTTTGAATACTGCATCAGACATTGCAAGGCCCACAAAGTCTAAAACAGCTACACATTTGCACTTTGCAACAAAGTTACCAACTCCTGTCTTAGGACATGATGTCCACCTAGCTCAGTGGCTCCAGCCTTTGGTAGGAGAAGTCACTTATTTCATTGGAGAGAAGGTAGAATCCGCCATCCACTATGGCATATTTCTACACTGGGGAGTCCCATGCAGAAGGAAATGATCATTCCCACGTCCGATGGAGTGGTTAAATGAGCAATTCCGTTCTGATTCCCAGTCCCTCATTTCCCATTTATTTGGAAATAGGAGAAACGAGTTTTAAAAATCATTACTCGGACACCAAAATATTCAAATAGAAAAGTTTTCTCCTCATTGTAATCTTTGTTGAAAATACAGTGGACTTGAAGTCCTAGGCCCTGTACCCAATTTGTGATCGTCGAGGCAGTCCCCATCCCTCTTAGTAAAGTCATCAATTCTATCTTCTCCAAAGACTGGCGTTTGTACTTAAAGCCTTACTAATCTCATTACTTTCTTTCCTCAAAAAACTACAAACTTTGTTACGTTATTTTTTAAAATGAGATAGTTATATGTTGCGTCTTCGAGAGGAATACAGGAGCTTGCGCTATACCAGATACAAAATCTAACTATAATCAGAAATTTTGTGTTCAAAAGCATTGGAAATCTGCTGAGACAAAAACTGGTCTCAAGGTTCCATAGTTGGAGAACTTCAGAAAAGGAAGCTGACACCTAAAGTTAATTTCAGTCTGTGTCTATGTCCAAATTATAATCAAAGAAAACGTTGCACCATTCCTACTGCCTCATAGGAGACCGATGAACCCTTTCTGGGAAAAGATAAACACCATCTAAAAATAATATAACCCAAAGTTATTTAACAAAAAAATATTTAACAAAGAGTTATCAGGCGTTTTGAAGGCACAGCTACGGGGCCACAGGTAGAAGAGGGGAAGATAACAGTAATAAACCCACACTATGGAACATTGCTCACCATGCTGTTTCATGAGAACAGCATGACTTTGATATCAGAAATTTGACAAGAAAATTTAGAGCCAGAAAAATTGTAGACCAAAAATCTCTTACGAAGATAAATACAGAACTAAATGTGGGAAATCAAATCCAGCTGTGTATGTACACTCATAATATGTACCTTTAGAGAGAAAAGTGGGGCCTAGCTATACAACCATACCAATAGATGCAGAAAATCGGTATGAAAATATGACATACACATTCGTGAGAAACTCATGAAAAATAAGAGAAGAGAGTAAATTTCTTAATCCGATCAAATTTAACAAATGTACATAAAACATCATTCTCAGTAGGCGGATGTTAACGCTCCGCTCTCCCGCAAATCAGAAATCAAACAAGGATGAAAAAAAGAGATTGACCCAGGTAGCAGGATGCTGTATGTAGGAATTGAAGATGAAAGAGACAAATTATTAGCATAATTTTATATTTTTATTATTCTTTGAATTAAGTTGATTGGGGTAACGATGGTTAATACAATTATATAATTTTCAGGTGTACGTTATCATTTGACATCTGTATATTCTATTGTGTGTTTACCACCCAAAGTCCAGTTTCTTTCGGCTACCATATATTTAATCCCCTTTATCCACTCCGCCCTCCCTCTAAATGCTATATTTAACCCCCTTTACCGCGTCTTCTTTCCCCCTCCTCCCCCATCCCACTAGTAACCACTAGTCTATAGTCCTCTGGTAACCAGTAGGCTATAGTCCATGTCCATGAGTCTCTGTTTGTTTGTCCTGCCGTTTCCTTGCTTTTAGGTTTATATCCCACATATAAGTTATATGTGATTTTCAACTTTTTCTGTCTGTCTTATTTCACTTGGCATGATTGTCTCGAGGTCCATCCATGTTGTCGCAAATGGCAGTATTTCATCTCTTCTTATGACGTAGTAATATTCCATTGTATGTATGTACCATGGCTTCTTTAGCCAATCGTCTATCATAGAACACATCGGTTGCTTCCATGTCCTGGCCGCTGTGAATAATGCTGCTATGAACATCGGTGTGCAAATATATTTTTGGATGTGGCTTTCAAGACTTTGGGGTAAATACCCAGTAGAGAAATCATACGGTAGATCAATTCTTAGTGTTTTGACGAACCTCCATACTGTTTTCCACAGTGGCCATGCGAATTTGCAGTCCCGCCAGCAGTGTAGGAGGGTTCCTTTTTCTCCGCATCCTCTCCAACAGTTGTTATTACTGGTCCTGTTGATTATAGCTATTCTAACAGGTGGGAGATGGTATTTCATTGTGGTTTTGATGTGCATTTCCCTAATAGCTAGCAATGTTGAGCTCTTTTCATATATTTCTTGGCCATTTGTATGTCCTCTAGGGAGAAATGTCTGTTCATGTCCTCTGCGAAGTTGTGATTGGATTATTTGTTTTTTGGTTGTTGTCCAGTCGTATGAGTTCTTTGTATTTTTGGATACTAGGCCTTTATCGGAGGTGTTGCTTGCACATATATTCCCATTTGGATGGTCGTCCCTTTACCTTGTTGACGATTTCTTTTGCAGAGCAGAAGCTTTTTAGTTTGATGTTGTCCTATTCATTTATTCCCTTGCTTTTGAGGTCAATTTCACAAAAATCCTCTTTAAGTCCAAGGTGCTTGAGTTTAGTTCCTATGTTTTCTTCTATGCATTTTATTGTTTCAGGTCTTATATTTAGGTCCTTACTCCATTTTGAGTTAATTTTGGTGTGTGGTGATAGACAACAGTCTAGTTTCATTCTTTTGCTGTTCGCTTTCCAGTTTTCCCAGCACCATTTATTGAAGAGGCTTTCCTTTCTCCACTGTATGTTTTGGCTTTTTGTTTAAAATTATTTGCTCATATAAATATGGGTTTACTTCTGGACTCCCAATTTTGTTCCACTGGTTCGTGTCTCTGTTTTGCTGCCAATACCATGCCGTTTTGATTACTGTCACTTTGCGGTACAATTTGAAGTCGGGCAGGGTGACGTCACCAGCCTTGTTCTTTTATTCTCAGGATGGCTTTGGCATCAGGGTCTTTTGTGCTTCCATATAAATCTGATGATTTTTTCTTCTATTTCTTTAGAAAATGTCGATGGGATTTTGATGGGGATTGCATTAAATCTGTATAACGCTTTAGGTAATATGGTCATTTTAACTATATTGATTCTTCCCATCCAAGAATATGGAATATCTTTTCATTTCTTTGTATCTTCTTGCATTTCTTTTAATAGCGTCTTATAGTTTTCATTATATAGGTCCTTCACTTGTTTCATTAGATTTATTCCTAGGTATTTTATTCTTTTCGTTGCAAATACAAAATAAATGGTTTTTTCCTCTTCTTTTTCTGACCCTTCATTATTATAGAAAAGCTATGGATTTTTGAACGTTGATTTTGTATCCAGATACTTTACTGTATTTCCTTTTGTCTCTAGTAGTGTTCTTGTGGAGTCTTTAGGGTTTTCTATAACGAGAATCATGTCATCCGAAAATAGTGACAATTTGACTTCTTTGTTTCCCATTTGACTGCCTTTTGTCTTTCTTTTGTCTGACTACACTCACTAGGTTTTCCAATGTTATATTGAATAACAGTGGTGATAGTGAACAGCCTTGCCTTATTCCTGATCTTAGAGGGAAGGTTTTTAGATTTTCACCATTAAGTAAAAGGTTGGCTAAGGGTTGTCATAGATGGCCTTTATTATGTTAAGGTACTTTTTTTCTATACTGATTTTGTTGAGTGTTTTGATCATAAATGGGTGCTGTATCTTATTGAAGGCTTTTTCTGGGTCTATTGATATGATCATTTGATTCTTATTCTTTAATTTGTTAATGTGGTGTATCACATTAATCAATTTGTGTATGTCGAACCATCCCGGTGCCCCTGGGATGAAGCCCACTTGATCGTGGTGTATAATCTTTTTAATATGTTGCTGTATTCAGTTTGCTAGTATCTTATTTAGGATTTTTATGTTTCTGTAATTTTCTTTTTTGGTATTATCTTTACCAGGTTTCGATATCAGAATAATATTGGCCTCATAAAATTAGTCGATAAGTATTGCCTCCGCTGTG